CCCAAAACCCAACAATGTTTTCAGTCAAACTAATTACAATTTCCACCTTAAAAAGATGAAATGATTTATTTTAGTCGACTTCTAATAGAGATTCTGCACATTTTGCCAGTACCTTGGTACATATGATGGATTGTTAGGTTGTCGTCATATGAGATTTTCATGGCATGAGTTTCAGGTCTGTTAGAATTATCAAAAAACATTATTACTGTCTAAAAAAGCTGAACAATGATCATTTGACCATCTCTTAATCTCATCTGTAATTTCATGTTTCATTTCATGCCAAAGGAATAAACACACGAGTACAGAGAAGCAAAGAGACGTTCTATTGAGGAACAAATACACGCTATCTCAGCGGCTTGTCCAGAGGTTTCAGGACATCACAGCACATCGTCACATCCAGTCTGTGTAGAAGAACTGAGCCCAAATGCATCTGCCTAAAATGGTGGATCAGTGCTGCTCTGTGTACCAGGAAAGGTCTGTTACAGACTTGAAGTATGTGTTTGCAGTGTGATGAAGAATAGTGTTAGGGTGTTTTGTGAAATGCATGAGTGGGAATGGATGAGGTGGAACATCCCTCCCTCCTCCATCTCTGTTTCCACTCATCTTTCCTTCTGCTGTCTCTCCTCCTCCTCCTCGCCACTGTCAGCATGCATGTGCTGCTCAAATGATTTTGTACCACTGCAGCAATAAAGCCAGCAAAGAAAATGGCACTTCTTTGAATCCGCTGTGAGATGCAAAATGGCCAGTGTCTCTGTACGTATCTGGAGGCTTTACTCTCAGTGAGATAAGCGCGTCCCAAAAATCTGTAGCCTGAGATATTATCGTTAAGCTATGGAGGACATTTTGTCTCTGCATCTGGACAGCGTGTGTGTTTTTGTGCAACGGGTTACGCTTGTGATCAGGGCACCTGCTGTAAAATTACTGGCAAGTAGCATCAATTTAAACACAAGAGGCCAGCCGATTGGTCGCTTTCATCTGCATTTGCACACACACACACACACACACACACACACACACACACACACACACACACACACACACACACACACACACACACACACACTTCACTCCAGTCCGTGTGGCTCTTAATAGGATTCAGTGTGCTGCTGCCTTTTGTCAGTGAGTGTATGTGGACTCGTCCCTGTGGGGTTCGTCAAAGGAGCCTTTTACCGAGAACAATGATCCATGCCGTTTAGCCTTTTAACCCCCAACACTTCTCACACAGCAACAAAAGACACACACGTGTGCACACGCGTCGTGCAGAGTGTACACATCCTGAAACCAAAACTGCAGACTTGCATCCTCAATTTCTTACTGCCTAATACTGCGATGCCCATGTGGGGCTGATAATGCAAATTACGACTACAACCACAGAACATTTAAAAAACAAGATTTTACTCATTTGAACATTCATAGAAGATTTCAAAGGATTTGAACTATACCTGCAGCCGGTGCTGCTAGCTGGAAGTTCCTGTTTTCAGTAAATCAGCTAAACATTATGTTCTCACCTGCAGGTCTTTTAAAAAATGTCATTAATTTTTTGGGATGCGTATTAAAGTGATGCAAAATGTTTTGTAGATGCTGGCCGCTACTCGAGTAATATAAAATGCACATTCTTAACATCCTTAATATCCGAGTAAATGAAATGATAAAGTTTGCTTCTAAATGCAACATTTAATAATCATCTTTGGCATTAATGAAGAAGAGAAGTGTTTCCAAGAGTGGAGCAGCTGATAATTGAGGGGTTCAGCATAGCACAGTGAGATAGTGCAGGTGTACTAATTGAAAGGCTGGTATTTTAAATCCTGGCTGCCCTAGTCGGCATGCTGAAGTACCCTTGGGCAATTTACTGAACCCTGAACTGATCCCGACGGATTTGTTGGAGTATGAATGCACGCTGTGTGCATTCACTTAGATGTGGAACGTGCTTGTGTGAATGAAACATGTTCTATAAAGTGGTCTGA